AAAGAGGAAGACTTGATATGAGATGGATGGACTCAATCAAGGAAGCCACAGTCCTCATTTTGCAAGACCTGAGCAAGGCTGTTAAGGATAGAACCTTTTGAGGCCATTAATTCTTAGGGTCACCATAAGTTGGAAGCAACTTGCCCGTACTTAACACGTGTAATGAGCTGTTCGGTAAAGAAGCCTTATTCAAATAAATATAAAGAGAATTCTACAAAAGGCCTTAGTTACAATTTTCTGAATGTTGTTTGGACAATCAGAGCCTTGTCTGTAAATGGGTGTTGGAATGCACAGACAGGAGGGTGTGACCGTGCTTCGTCTCTCGCCCTGGGCTGCCGCCCGTCGTCATATTTTCAATCAAGCTACCCCAGCACAAAGCCCCGCCGGGCTGCTGGGGGTGCTGGGGAAGGAAGCGGGAAACCTCTCTTTGGAAGGGAGCTTGCCTCAGAAATGGAACAAGCAGAGGGTTGCACCACCCTCTTAGTCCATCCTGGATCTGGCTGCTTTACTACTGCCACCTCGTCTGACTTCTCTCTAGTTTTTAGCAGTAAGGCCGCAGCTGCAGCCAGCCCAGCGCCTCCTCCTCGGCTCACTCAGCCCTCCTTTTTATTTCCCCCTTCGTTCCCGGCACTCCCACCACCCCGGCCACACCCCCTTGTAAAAGAGTTGACGCCGAGGCTTCCAGCTCCGCCCCTCCGTCCTCCGGCTCCCCGGACGGACGGCGGACGGCACGCACCCTGGCGAAAGTTTCCCGGACTCTTGTTGTTGAGGGCGGGCCGCCGCTGGTACGCTTGCCCGTTCCCTCTTCGCAGCGCCTCTCGGTGGACTTTGCCTTCGGCGACTGTCCTCCAGCTCCGTCAGTCGCCGCCGCCTTCCCCACAGAGGTAGTAAGTAGCGGGGGAAGAGGGGGAGGGATACTTGCGGCGTGCGGACTCTTCCCTCCCGGCAGCCCCGGGAGGGTCCCAGGGAGGGCCCGGTTGCTACCGGGACAGAGGGAGAGCGAATGTGATCACCTATGGAGGAAAATGCAGGAGAGGGAGGGAAACTGAACTCATATCTCGATTAGGAAATCGAGTCTTGTCTAGCACTGAGAGAAAAAGAGGAGGAAGAAAGCAGAGCCAGGCTTGTCTCTTTGTCCATCTTCTGTTGGCAGTCATGCTGTGGTTTGAGTCCCAGCTTTCTTCATCTAGCATCATCTAGTTTAGCATCATTTGCAGCATGAACAACCATTGTTTGAAAAAACAAGAAATGTTGTGGGTTGCTGCCTTAGAGTTCCAAAACAAGAATAAAATCTGCCCTAATCTCAGACAATATTATTTATTTATTTATTTATTTATTTATTCATTCATTCATTCATTTTTATTTATTTACATTATTAATAGTCTATCTTTCTCACTTGGACTAACAGGATTAGGGTTGTAGAACCAACCAGAAGGTTAAAAACAGAACTGAAGCAAAACATAAGTATTAACTTGACACATTAAATGATGAAAAATTCCATAGTAGGGTCCTAGTTTCAGCAAGCTAGACACAGCCGTAAAGACCACAGTCCCTAATAATTTTTTAGCACACTACGTATCTATTGCCTGCATAGAAAAGCCCACTTGAATAATTCAGATCTTCGACGTGGTCTCTGTGCTTCACACCCATGGGATCTAGTGTGCACGCGCTGAAACGATCGGTGCTCTTTTCAATGGATTTTCGCGCCCAGTCCCTCCAGGCATGCGCAGGAACCCCACCGCGCATGCCCAGAGGGATGGGCGTGGACATCCCGCCAGTTCCTTTCCTACCACCGCGTTGGAAATACCTCTTTCTCCGACGGTCTGATCGGTTCGCTGATAGCTTCTTCTAAAACCTCTGATACTTCATCCTTTTGCTTGTTTTGTTCTTCGTTCTTCAAAAAATTGTAAAAAAAGACTTCATTTTTATTATTTATTTATTTATTTATTTATTTCCATTTTTATCCCGCCCTCCCCGCACGCAGGCTCAGGGCGGCTTACAAGGCACAACGTGCTATAAAACCGATAAATTAAAACACAGATGCTAAAAACATTGACAACTCACAGGATACATGAAGGACTAAAATTGCGCACTCTCCATTGCATATCAGGAGGAGGTCAGAGGTCAAAAGTCAGAAGGGGGACGCCATGAGTCATGATGTTCCAATTACTCATCAGCCTGCTCCACAGTTATGCAGTGGTGGTAGTGGCGGCGGCGGCCCCTACTCACAATCCTGGTGGAAGAGCTCCGTCTTGCAGGCTCTGCAGAACTGTAAAAGGTCCCGCAGAGCCCTGATCTCTTCCGGGAGCTCATTCCACCAGATAGGGGCCGCCACCGAAAAGGACCGGGCCCTCGTGGTAGCTAGCCTGGCCTCTTTAGGGCCCGGGGTCACTAAACGGTGCTGTGACCCCGACTGAAGGGCTCTTTGGGGCCTATATGGGGAAAGGCGGTCCCTCAGGTATGTCAGACCCTGGCCATGTAGGGCTTTAAAAGTAAGCACCAGCACTTTGAAGCGAATCCAGTACGCTATAGGCAGCCAGTGCAGCACCTTCAGCACGGGTTGGAAGTGTTCCCATTTAGGGTCACCCACCAACAACCTGGCCGCCGCATTCTGCACCAGCTGCAGCCTCTGAATTTGTGACAAAGGCAGCCCCATGTAGAGAGTGTTACAGTAGTCTAGCCTCGAGGTGACCGTCGCATGGATCACTGTGGCCAGATCGTCACGGCTAAGGAACGGGACCAACTGCCGCACTAGCCGAAGATGATAAAAGGCTGCTCTAGCGGTGGCCGCTGCCTGGGCCTCCATCGTTAAGGTGGGGTCCAGGAGCACCTAGTCCTAACCTCCGAAGCTGGCACTAGAGGAGGCCCATCGAAGGCCAGGAGTGGGAGCCCCAATCCCATACCACCCCGACCCAGGCACAGGACCTCCGTCTTCGCCGGGTTCAACTTCAGCTGGCTCAGCCTGAGCCACCCAGCCACGGCCTGTAGAGCCCGTTGAAGATCTTCTGGGTCGGAGTCCGACTGGCCACCCAACATCAGATAGAGCTGGGGGTCATCTGCATATTGATGACACCCAAGTCCATACCTCCGGACAATCTGGGTGAGGGGGCACATATATATATTAAATAGCATCGGGGAGAGTACTGCCCCTTGAGGCACTCCACATTCAAGCAGGTGCCTCCGGGACTGCTGCTTCCCTAGCACAACCCTCTATCCCCAACCTTGGAGAAAAGAGGCAAGCCATTGAAGGGCGAGCCCCTGGATCCCCACATCGGCAAGGCGGTGGACCAGCAGCTGGTGGTCAACCGTATCAAATGCGGCCGACAGATCTAGCAACAACAGCGCCGCCACACCGCCTTGGTCCAGAGGTCTACGGAGGTCGTCAGTCAGGGCAACCAACACAGTCTCCGTCCCATACCCCGGGCGAAAGCCAGACTGGAATGGATCAAGGACGGAAGCGTCATCTAGAAAGCTCTTTAACTGAGTTGCCACCGCCCTCTCAATCCACTTGCCCAAATAGGGCAAATTGGACACCAGCCGATAGCTGGCCAATTCAGCCGGGTCCAGAGTTGGCGTTTTCAGAAGGGGGCGGACCAACGCTTCCTTGAGTTCCTCGGGGAACCACCCCGCCAGGAGGGACTTGTTGACAATCTCCCTCAAGGCACTTCGAAACCCCTCATGGGCCGCTTTAATGAGCCAAGAGGGGCACGGATCAAGGCTGCAAGTGGTTGGGCGCACAGATACAAGCAATCTATCAACTTCCTCCAGGCTGAGCCGGTCAAAGCCCTCTAAGCCCGGCACAGCCGTGCAAGGGGCCTCAAGCTCACTAACTGTATCAACTGTGGCGGGGAGGGCCTGGCAGAGGGCGGGGAGGTCGTGGCAGAGCGTCAAGACTTTATCCGCAAAATAGCTCACAAAAGCCTCACAGCCAATATCCAATTCCCTACTATTTTGTCTGCCCTGTGACAGAGCCATCAATGACCGAATCGTTCTAAATAATTGGGCTGGGCGTGAGCTAGCGGACGCAACCCTAGCTGCGTAGAAATCTCTCTTCGCAGCCTTGACTGCCATCTCATAGGATCTCATAAACGTCCTATAAGATGCTCTTGTAGCCTCGTCGCGAGCTCGGCGCCACCGTCTCTCTAGCTGTCTGAGCTCTTGTTTCATAAGCCGTAACCCCTGGGTATACCAGGGGGCAAGCTTAGAGCGAGGGCGCAGAAGGCGCCGGAGAGCGATCACGTCGATGGCCTTGGAAAGTCGGCTATGCCAGTCATCCACAAGCTCAGTCAATGA